AACTTGGCTCACCAATCTCATCTGAGAGATCGTCCCTAGACCAATCTCAAGTGAGAACAATTAGTATAAAATATATCTATATTTTGTTCCAAAATATGTGAATCACGTGTTAGAAATAGTAAAAGGAATTTCAATAAAGATTATTATGTAAAAGATTACCTTTTTCATTATTCATTCTCTTTTTATAAGGGTACATGGGTAGAATTCAAGGACTTATTGGATTCTTGTCAAAGCCTATCTTGGAGTGACTAACTTGGCTCACCAATCTCATATGAGAGATCATCCCTAGACCAATTCCAAATGAGAACACTTAGTATAAAATATATCTATATTTTGTTCCAAAATATGTGAATCACGTGTTAGAAATAATAAATAGTATTTCAGTAAAAATTATTATGTAAAAGATTACCTTTTCTCATTATTCATTCTCTTTTTATAAGGGTACATGAGTAGGATTTAAGGATTTATTGGATTCTTTTCAAAGCTAATCGGGAAGGTTTACACACCGATTACATGATAAGCTTGTCTACTACAAGAGCATAGAGATAACTTAAGGAAAAGGTGGGAAATCTAGGTCCCTCACTAAGGTTCAAGTCCAATAAAAATATACTACACATAATTACATTAGGTCAAAGTATACTTGTTAGATTACATTATTACATTATAATCGAGATCAAACACCAATTTAAGAATCAGAGTAATTTTTTTCTGGTACACTATTTATCCTTATGTAAGACGAATAAAACATAATGGAGAGGAAGATGTGGAGTTTGAAGGAAGAGAAAATTATATTCGTAAATAATGTTATTTTCTAAATAATAAATCAAACAAGAAAAGTAACATTCCAATTTTAAATTCTTGAGAAACTAAAAAAGATTAATATATCTAACGTCTTCTGAAAGTAACTTGAAGAAGGTTATTCTTCATCCTGAGTCTTTATTATTTTTTTTATTAATATTATAATAATATTACTAGTATTAATTTATCAACGATTTTATTAATACTAAGGGTTTAAGGTTTAGGGTTTAGGGTTTAGGGTTTAGTTCAAATAACATCAGTGTAATTTTTACTAAGTAGTACACCGCTCAATAACTTTATATTAACTGTGAATTTTATAAATTCAACTGTTAGATTAAAAGTTATTTACTCTTGGGTCATATATAAAAAAATTTATATTAATATAAAATAATTTTATACTTCATTCTTATAAAATAAAATTGACGTAATATATACATTTCAAAATATAATAAAATATGAATACTTTGATTACCTTCAAGTTGTTGTTCAATTTTAACAAAATTTGATATAAACATATAAAATGATATGAACTTTCAATTTAACGATTGGATTTATAAAATTCACATTTAATATAAAATTATTGAGAGGTGTAATACTTAGTAAAAGTTACACTGGTGTCATTTAAACTTCCTATCAGTGACGGATCCAGAAATTTTAGATAGTGAGGACAATAATTATTTATATATTTATAATGTTAAAAATTTTACATATAACTTTTAAAAGTATAAATATATATCATAATTATTTTTTACAAACTTTTATAACTATGCTTACGATTAATTAATATGAAAATAAGTTAAGTCAGACTATGAAATATTTGGTTAGAACTACAATTCTAAAAATATACTTTATAATAATTTAATACTAATAAAAACATAAAAATAAATATTTTAAGTTGTATAAAAATTAAGTTTAATTTATTTATAATATAAACATGTTTTTAATATCTAATATAATATTTTAGATAATAATTTATTTCAAACATATTTTATAATAAAAAATTTAAATAGAATATAAATATTTCAATATTTTCCATTCTAATTTTTTTAATCAACGTATAGAATCTTACAATCTTTACTATTTTAATTTTTTTAATTAATGTATACATAAATAAAAAGAACAAAAGGTAAATATATATGTTACAAATTTTATTTTATCAAAAAATTAAACTTTAAAAAAAATTAATTCGTTATTAAAAAATATTTTTTTATTATATATGAGAAGTAATCTCTTTCGAAAATTTGATAAATATCAAATAAATGAACAATTCTTTCAAACTTGTATTTTATAATATGATAATTTAAATATATATGTTTCTTTAATTAAAATATAATTTTTATTTTTAAAAATATATTATTTTTTAGATAAAAAAATATGTGTTGGAAAATGGTAGTGGGGGCACATGCCCCCACTCTCTCCTACCCGTGCCTGCTTCCTATATATATAATTTTCTTATTTTGTAGTATTAAATATGTGTAATTTTGATTCCTGTCGTATATATTATGACTTTCATTCATGAATCAAATAAACTCATTATCTATAATTTAAGCATCGTTGTTTTTGGGTTTAGTGTAGAGAAATTGATATGCTAAAAATACGTTTAAAATCAATGAACAAAATTTTGATATCATACCTAAAAGATTGAACAAAATCTAATGATTTGTTTGATATTTTTTATTATTTGGGAAACTCAAGTGAGAAATGTATTACTTCAATTAAGAACACCTCAATTTAAACAGAGTTACAAAATTAAACTATAATTTAGAGATTAAAAATCTTATAGTTATGACGTGAATATTGTCCCAAATATTTCTAATTATAATTTAACTGAACCCTAAACAATTTTGATTATCAACTTTTTCTCTGAAGTTGTTAATAATTACTTTTGATAATGAAAATTAGTACTCTCTCCTAATAATATCAGTGTTTTAAAAATCAGCTCAGACCAACTAAATCGAGAGCTGATGATTTAGTTATAAGACTTTGTGCTTGAAATTTTGTGCCTATGTGTGATATGAAATGTGGGTGTTCACTTGAGAATGATGTGTGCGATGTTTGAGATATTGGTGAATGATGTTATAATGCTATCATGTGTGATAAATGATTAGTATGACTAATGATAATGTATAATGTTATGACGATGATGTATGAAATGAATGATGATGAGATATGATTGAGTTGATGAGATATGATGATGATGAGCATGTAAGTTTAGGTTATGGTTGACGTTGATGAGATCCAAGTGGGACTTGGTGTGTTGTGGACAAGTCTAGAGCTATAGTCCGACTTGTTACATTTATTAGTTGTTGTATGTGTGTGATGTTGTAGTGTTGTGGGTAGAGTCTATGCATGCATGTTTTATTACATGATAATGTGAGTCTATGTAGGTAGGTTTCAAAGGTTAATTATCTATCTAGACCTTGAGGAGTGTTATGGTTGAGAAATGGGAATTGGAGGTAATCATAGTCTACTATAACACTTCGACAGGACTCTTATAGACAACCTCTAGTTGAGGATAGATTAGCGAGGATCACCTATGATAGGGTGGTCTCATTCCATAACTCTTAGGTTATCTTGAGATAATGATGATGAAGAGGAAATTGGTACTACATGCATATAAAATTAAGTGCATACATTTGCAAGAGTTTATATATTATAATTGTGTTTGATTAGGTTACATGAATGATTGTTATTGATGATGAATAAATGTAGAGTGATATATATATATATA